AGGGTCAACAGGGTCGGGACCGCTGTGGGAAATGCGGTAGGTCACATGAGGGAGTTTTCCGCACGGGGTCAGGTTCAGGCTGCTATAAGTGCGACAAGGCTGGACATTTTGGCAGGGATTGTAATGCCCCTACTCCCACCATTCAGACATCAGGCATGATTTGCTTTTATTGCAATTAAAGGGGCCATAAAATGGTCAACTGTCCTAGACTGACAACAGCAACAACAATGGCAGTGGAGGCACTAACTCCAACGACTACACAGATTACGGATGGCAGGAAGGTCAAGTTAGAGGCTCCAATTGTGAGGAGTCGAGCTTTCCAGTTGACAGTCGAGGAGGAACGCACCGCACCCGTTGTGGTGATGGGCATGATTTATTCTCCTTAGCTTTTATTATATGTCGCTTTTGATATTAATTTGCCATGTTATATGTCTTACATAGGATCATTCCATGTGAATTGTATCCCAGTTTAGGTGTTGTTTGATTTGGTTACTACCCGGTCATTTGTCTCTCTTGCAAGAGCTTCCCTGAGTCTTTGAGCATGTTACATTGCCCTCTAAAGCTTAATATTGCGGAGGAACGATCAGTTCGAGCATCAGACATTTTGAGGGATTGTATTTTGAGGTTGTATGAGGAGCGCTATTTGGTAGACTTGGTTTCCATACCATTGAGAGGGAACAAGGTCATTATCGACATTGCTTGGTTGAGACCCAATGGGGTAGTGATCAATTGTACGTAACAGTTGGTCCGGGTCAGGACCCCAGGTGGGGGAGAGCTGGTGATTCAAGGCGAGAGGCCACAGCATGGGCCAACTTTATGTTCAGCAGCGTGAGCCAGACACTATATCCAGCAGCGGTGGACAAGGTATGTTGCCTATGTCTTTGATACCCGAGAGGCGGGTAAGGCGATTGTGAGTGACGTGCCAATGGTGTGAGAGGACGCGGATATATTCCCAGATGAGCTGCCTGGGATACCTCCGGAGAGGTAGGTAGAGTTTAGGATCGACCTAGTCCCTGGTGCGACTCCGATAGCTAAGACACCATATCGGTTGGATCCTCTTGAGATGGAGGAGTTTTCTACACAGATACGAGAGTTGTTAGACAAGGGATTCATTAGACCGAGCAGTTTACCATGGGGAGTCCCGATTCTGTTCGTGAAGAAGAAGGAAAGGTCGCATCGGATGTGTATAGATTACCAGGAGCTGAATAAGGTAATTGAAAGAACATAATTTGTGGTTTGAGCTAGGCATCATTTTGTATAGTTAATTGAGTCATTTTGCAGTGTTTCGTTTATAGTCATGTAATGTGTGCTGCCATACATGTGTGTGCGGCCACACACTGTGTGTGCGGCTGCACACATGTGCTTGGCTGCACACTCTTGTGCTGGTAGGAGGAGTACTATAAATAGCAACTGAGGTGTGTCAGTCTGTAATTTTTTTGGCTAGAAGTCTATGACGTATGTGTGTTTTCCCAAGGTGTACCTGACATTTATATGATATAAATGTGTGCATGCTTGATTCAATTTCTTCTTCTTCTCAATCTAAATCTAATTGCAATTAACTTCATTGATTACTAAATTGGATCCTTAATCTTGGGGACTTACAATTGGTATCAGAGCCAATTTGGTATCAATTGAAGTTGTTTTTTTGAGTGTTTGCTGCCAACTGTTGAACGTTTGCTGCCAACTGTTGAAGGTTTGTTGTCAACTGTTGAAGGTTTCCAGCTGACTTTCAAGGTTTGCTGTTAAGGTAGGTGTGTGCGTCTGAAGGAGTGTAGGGTTGAAGGAGTGTGTAGTTGAAGGTGTGTGCGGTTGATGTAATTGCAGGTTTAGTGTGCGGTTAAATTTGTGTGTGCGGCTCAATTCAGTGTGCGGCTGGATAAGTGTGTGCGGTTAAGGAGTGTGTGTTTAAGAGTTTTAGTGTGCAATTTAAAATTACTAAAATGGAATCTCAAAACTTGATTGTTCATCAAGATTTGGATGCAATAATGGGAACAACTAGTCGCATTCCTAGATTGCTATCAGCTGAAGGATTTCCTGAATGGAAATATCGGATTGAAAAATACATCAAAATGAAGGATTTCAAAATTTGGAGAAGCATTTTGATAGGACCAATTCGGATTACTTCTACTTTAGAAGATGGAACGAAAATTGACAAACAAGTTGAAAACTACACTGATGATGATTTTGAACGAGTTGAAGAACAAGAAAAGGCTCTTGCCACAATGACAATGGCATTGTCTCCGGAAATAGCACAAGGATTTCGTGAGTATACATCAGCAAAAAGCATTATGGGAAGCACTCATAGAAGTTTATGAAGGAAATAAAGACATGAAGCAAAGTCGACAAGACATGCTCCGACAAAAATTCAACATGTTTAACTACGTATTGGGACAAACATTGGAAAATCAATTGCAAAGATTCATCACACTAACCACTGAAATGAGCTCCACAGGAGTGATGGTTACTAGATCTGAAATCAACAAGAAGTTACTAAATTCTCTTCCAAAGTCATGGGACGTGAATGTCTTGGTGATTAAAAAGACAAAAGACAGGCAACCTGAGTCTGTGTAACGTACCCAAAGTTGAAGGGTCTATGCTTTGATTTGATGTGTCGGTAGCACGAAAGATTCTAAATGGACATGACTAGGCAGAATTGAACTTAGGAAATCAAATGACTTCACAAATCTTGACCTAGATAGTTCCGTTTAGCCTGACAATATGATGCTTGGATAGGTTGAGCAGGGAGATATATACGGGAATCTACTCGTCACATTAATTGAACCCGTACTTGGAACCGTGGTTTAAGTTTTCCTCGATGTGCGGATTTTGTCCTTAATTCCGGTTGGATGGGGCAACTTGTAAATTCCGACAAATTAGGTCTGTAGAATATCGTTTTCTTTCTTTCCCTCTATTAGTCATATGTTGTCTCCTTTGCGCGATCTCTAATCCGACCTGGTACACAACATATGCAAGTCTATTTCTCTGCAAGCTATATATATATATATATATATATATATATATATATATATATATATATATATATATATATATATATATATATATATATATATATATAAATGTGTGAAATATGTGAAAAACTTCTTATCTAGTGTACCAGCATATGCAACCTTCTTATTCTCAACCCCTCTAAAGAACTCTGTATCTCTTCTCTCTCTGAATGGTTGTCTACTCACCCGGTGTAAGGAGTACTCTAGAAGTTCTTGATGGCTGGGGCATATCAGGAAGCGGGAAACACGTTCTAGTACACTTAAAATTGAACATATACAGATTGTCTATAGATCTCGCTGCTCAATTTACGTGGACAACAATATCCCTGGTCGTCGTCAGCTGAATGGTCCTTAAGCTATAGTATCTAGAAACATAGGATCAGATATAATATCTAGGAACTCAGGGTCACTTTGTCTTGTCATTTGCAATACGTCCTATTTTTGTCACAATTTTTCGTACTTAAGTGGACAACAATACCGACAATCGACCAGACAAAGATGTGAATATGAAAGGTACCCACAAGCAGATAACGATCGTCTAAAAACTTTGATCCCTAATCCTCAACAGATTAAAGGAATTTATAAAGGTTTAAATTGATTCTTGTCGATTAATAAATTTTTAAAATTTTATTTTATTTTATTTTTATTTTTATTAATCCTCAAAATAATTTCTTAAGAAAATTGTGTGCAAAAAAAGGGGTTTTGGAATAAATGTTTAAAAGAAAAGGGGGAGAATGTGTAAATTCGATGAATATATATATATATATATATATATATATATATATATATATAGTGTGTGTGTGTGTGTTTGTGCGGTGAGGCTTTTTCACCGTCATTTACTGTTGCCTCAACCGCACACACATACTTTCTCTCTCAATTTCTTTGGAAATTTCCTTCAAGTTTTAGTTAAAACAAGCTCAAACTCGGTAATTCTTATGTGTGCGGTTGAATTTTTCATTTTTTTTTTAAATTTTATCCCATGGTTTGCTGTTTGATTTTAATAAAGATGTTTATGCGGCCGCACACATGCGTGTGCGGCTGACCGTGTGCGGCCGCACACAAGTGTGTACGGTTGACCATGTGCTGCCACACAAGCGTGTACAGCTGACCGTGTGCGGTTACATGATTTTATGAATGTGCAGCTGAACATTTTCTTGTTGCCCTAATTTTTCATGTGTTTACTTTTAGATTAAAATGGGAGACCATGAATTTGCTAAAGCTCACAACTCTGCAATTTTTCTTGAAGACCCTCATACAACCCACAGAGACATGAAATTCATTGTGGATGGATTGAAGAAATCATGTTTAGTTCATGCCTTAACAACTAGTCCTGCTATCTACCAGAGTTTGATCAAAGAATTTTGGAGAAATGTTGTCGTAAAGAAAAATGGTCAGGGTGACAAATTTGTTGAAGCAACAATTGAAGAAAAGAAAATTCAAGTAACGGAGAGCATCATAAGAGAATCCCTTCAAATATCAGACAAACCTGAGTATACCATGGAGATCGATATTCATCAGAGTCAGGATGTCTTGGAGCATATGGGTTATGAGGGAACATTTCCCCCTACAATCAAGAAGTTGCTTCCTCCGTGTTGGAAGTATTTGGCTCATTTGTTCGTGAGCTGTATTTCCGGTAGGAGATCTGGAGCTAATGAGATTTCTCTTGCTAACACTGGTGCCATTGCAGCATTGGCTGCAGGTTTTGAGTTTAATTTCTCAAAATTCATTCTGAATGAAATGGTCCTGAATCTTGAAGGGAACAAAAGAGATAAACTCTGGATGTATCCAAGATTTCTGCAAATCATCCTCAACTTGAATCACGCCGAGCTGCAGAGAGGAAATGATGTCTTAGATTTTAAATCCATTGGACCAAGTGCTTTTGGGCTAATGAAACGGAAGAGAGGTGGGAAATTTGTTTTTGAAGGAAAATTCCCATTAATAAAATTTGGAATCTTTAAAGAAGATGATATAGACGAATCGGAAGAACAATCAATGCCAATGGAAAATGAAGATATTCATCACTCTCCCTCCGAGCCTGAAGTGGAGGAGATTCATGATTCTCCCAGAGCATGTGTAGCTGATGAACATGATTATCAGAAAACGATATATTCTAAGTATTCTCGAGGTGATGATGACGATGATATTTATGATGGCATACAGTTTTTGAATGAATTCGACTTTACTGGAATTAACAATGACATTCCAACCAACATAGAGTTTGATCTCAATGATGAAGACTTTGATCCTTTTCTCGGTATCACCAGCAGCCATGCAAATAAAGTCAATGAAGTTGTTTCTCTATCAACCAAGACTAGAGCTGAAGAAGATTCTCTCAAAATTCTATTCTCCACCTCAAAGCCCTTAGAGGTCACAACAAGCCAAGGGGATGTGACATCAGAGATTCCTCCTTCTGTGTCATTTGTCTCAACATCAGCTCCAATCATTTCCGACTTATCTGAACCTCATACTTCTCAGACTTCCTTAAGAAGAAGACAATCTCTTGAAAGTCTGGAGATTCCCGCTGTAAAAAGTGCTCCTCAAGTTACCTCAACAATCACTGCAACCTTTGGTCACTCTCCTCCAAAGCAGTCTAATGAAGGTCTAAGCACAATGTTCGAGACTGGTGGATCCTCTTATGTTCCAGAATATTCTCCAACTCGACCTTCTCTAGATGAAGCTTCTATCAGACTAGTAAGACATTTGGCTCAATCAAGTCCAACCTCTTCACGCGGGAAAGGAAGATCATTTAACGAGGGTCGGACAGATGATGAAAAATTCTCCTCATCTGATCTTCGAGAGGAAGTTGGAGTTCTCCGCCAACAGCTCATTGAAAAATCAATTCAAATGGATCAACCTTCTGCATATGTCTTGGAGCTCAGGGCAAAGGATGAAGAAAAGACCAAACAAATCAAAGATTTACAAACAAGTCTTAATCTCAAGAACGTATTGTATGATGCTTTTGGTGAAAAAGTTAACGCTCTCTTCCAACAGCCTCATGGAGTAGATGATCCTCCTTCAGCTCAATCACCTCATGCAACTGATGATCTTCATGTTGACCCACCTGCTCCAAGATCAACTATCATTGTAGACAGATTTGAAAAAGAACCAGAAGGAAGCAGAGCTAGAATCACAATTAAACAAGGCAAAAGAGTTGTGACTGAAAACCAACGCTAGGGACTTGTGTTTATGAAAAATTCAAATGAAAATCGCAAAGCAAAAGAACCTGCCCTGACTGTAACAGATTTGAAAAAGAGAAAGTTTGGCGATAAGTATGGTGACAGATCTGGTATCCGTATGTGGGCTTTTGATCCAGAAACGAATTTGTGGGTGGTGAAGCGAAATTCAGGAACTTCTGAATGTTTCAAAAGCACCCATGATTTAAATTCTTGGACTAAGACTGATCTAGCAGAATTATCTAGAGATCCCTTTCACAATCCCTCGCAAGATCCTAGTGCATCAAATTTTAAAAGGTTCCTTGATAGGCAGGTCAAAGAAAATTTTCCCAGCATGAAGACTACCAAAGCCCTTTATCGAAAGGATAAGGATGTTATCGACCCAGAAACATGCAAACCTATGAAGATTATATTATGGCCTGCTACAAAGAAGCAAAAAGAAATTCAAATCCCTCAGCATTTCCAGGAGGGATATCTTGACAATACGGAATTTTAGGCATACGATGATGAAACTGCAACTGCTGCCATCAAATTCAAGGATCAAGAACGTGTTTTGAGGCTGATCAATGCAAAAGATCTTCTTCGTTTTCAAGAAAGGGACATACGGACTCTGACTCATCACCAGATAATCTGCAGAAAAGAAGTAATGGAAGTTGCCGCTAAAGAATACACCGCAATGGTTGCTACAATCATAAATGGAAGGTTATGGATGGATTCAATGGGGAGATCAGACCTGAGTCTGTTTGAGAAGCCTACTGAGGAGCCAAAGGAATGATGACAAGACTATGCTAGTCTCAAACCAAGGGGGAGACTGAAAGAACATAATTTGTGGTTTGAGCTATGAATCATCTTGTATAGTTAATTGAGTCATTTTGCAGTGTTTCGTTTATAGTCACGTAATGTGTGCTGCCATACATGTATGTGCGGCTGCACACTGTGTGTGCGGCCGCACACTCCTGTGATCGTAGGAGGAGTACTATAAATAGAAACTGAGGTGTGTTAGTCTGTACTTTTTTGGGCTAGAATTCTGTGACGTATGTGTTTTTTCCCAAGGTGTACCTGACATTTATATGATATAAATGTGTGCATGCTTGATTCAATTTCTTCTTCTTCTCAATCTAAATCTAATTGCAATTAACTTCATTGATTACTAAATTGGATCCTTAATCTTGGGGACTTACAGTAATCGTGAAGAACCGTTACCCACTCTTGAGGATTAATGATCTCTTTGACCAGCTTCAGGGGGCATCTTTGTTTTCCAATATAGATTTGCAGTCAGGCTACCTTCAGATGAGGGTAAGAGAGGAGGATATGCAGAAGGCTGCTTTTTGGACTCGCTATGGCCATTATGATTTCGTGGTGATGGCCTACGCGCTCACCAATGCTCCTGCCGCGTTGATGGATCTCATGAACCGCATGTGCAGACCGATGTTGGATCAATCTGTGATAGTTTTCATTGTTGACATCTTGGTCTATTCCAAGATATAGGAGCAGCATGAGTAGCACTTGCGAGAGGTGTTGGATACTCTGAAGGGGGAGAGCTTGTATGCCAAGTTCTCCAAGTGTGACATCTGGTTACGCGAGGTGCAGTTTCTTGGGCACCGTGTCAACCAAAACGTGATCTTGGTCGACCCGGCCAAAGTAGATGTCGTGTTGAGATGGGAGGTTCTGAGCTCTCCATCTGAGATTCGAAGTTTCCTGGGATTGGCGCGCTATTATCAGAGATTTATTCAAGACTTCTCCAGAATAGCCCTACCTTTGACTCGGTTGACGAAGAAAGTCAGGGTCTTTCGCTGGGGGCCTGAGCAGGAGACCGCATTTGAGACACAGAGGCAGAGATTGTGCGATGTGTCAATCTTAGCCCTGACAGAGGGCATGAGGATTTTTTTAGCATACTGTGATGCGTCCATCTCGAACTTGGGCATGGTATTGATGTAGAGGGGGGATGTTATTACTTATGCCTCAAGGCAGTTGAAGCCTCATGAGGCGAACTACCCGACGCTTGATTTGGAGTTGGGGGCAATTGTTTTCGTCCTTAAGATTTGGCGACATTACCTCTATGGGGTCTGTAATACCATTTACATGGACCATAAGACTTTGAGGTATCTCATGGATCAGCTGAATCTAAATATGAGGCAACGTCAATGGCTAGACGTGGTGAAGGATTACTATTGTGAGATCCTCTACCACCCGTGGAAGGCCAATGTCGTGGCCGATTCGCTTAGTCGCAAGGCAGCCCTAATCAAAGATATTTACTTGAGGATAACAGTGGTGACTCCGATGTTGGAGCAGATCCGAGACGCTTAGCAGGAAGCTATGAAGGAGGAACATCGTAAGAGTGAGCATATTGTGGTTCAGGTTTCCTCCTTCGATTATGATAGTCGTAGATTGTTGACACTACACAGTAGAGTGTAGGTCCTATATCATGGAGGTGTGCACCAGATATTGATGCAGGAGGAGCACAAATCCAGGTTATCTATTAGTCTCGGGGCGAAGAAGATGTACAAGGATCTTTGTCCTGATTATTGGTGGCCCTACATGATGCGGGATGTAGCTTGGTATGTTGAGAGATGCCTGACGTACAGGAAGGTCAAGGCCGAGCGCCAGAGGCCTCAAGACATGACCCAACTATCGAATATCTCGATGTGGAAATTGGAAGATATCACTATGGATTTCATCGCGAAGCTTCCCAGGATTGTGCGGGGAGTGGATTCAGTTTAGGTCATCATGGATCGACTGACCAAGAGCGCCTATTTCATTCCAATTCAGAAGAGCATTTCGTCCAAAAAGTTGGCCAACATCTAGATTAGAGAGGTAGTTGCTCAGCACAGGGTGCCAGTCTCGGTGGTTTTTGACAGATATGTGCGGTTCACTTCCAGGTTCTAGAAGGTGTTTCACGACGAGTTGGGTACTTGCCTACACATTAGCAACGCCTTTCACCTACAGACGTATGGTCAGAGTGAGCAGACCATCTAGACTTTGGAGGATATGCTTCAGGCATGCGTTTTAGACTTTGATGGTAGTTGGGATACCTACCTTCTTTTAGTAGAGTTCTCCTACAAGAATATCTATCACGCGAGTATCGACCGTCCTCCCTTCAATATATTGTATCGGAGGAAGTGCAAGACCCTAATATTTTGTGTTGAGGTTGGACAGAGTGTAATGGGGAGTACCGAAGTGGTACTCACGACTACGGAGAGGATCTAGCAGGTTCAGAGCAGACTTTACATTGCTCAAAGTCGACAGAAAAGTTATGCCGACAAGCGTCGTTCGAGCCTTGATTCCAGGTCGGAGATATGGTCTAACTAAAGGTGTCACCTTGGAAAGGTTTCATTCGGTTTAGGAAGCGGGGAAAATTGGGCCCCAGGTACATTGTACCTTTCAAGGTTATAGCTCGGGTGGTCAAGGTGGCATATAGGCTGGACCTGCTAGCCGAACTCAGTTAGATTCACAACACTTTTTAGGTGTCCCAACTACAGAAGTTCCTGGTAGACGATTCATGAGTGGTGCCCTTGGAGGATATTCAGGTGGATGATAGCTTGGACTACATCGAGCGGCCAGTAGCTATCCTCGACAGGAAGTCGAGGGACTTAAGGAAAAAAAGGTGGAACTGGTGAAGGTGCAATGGCAACACCGCAACGTATCAGAATGGACTTGGGAGCCGAAGGACAAGATGAGGGAGCACTACCCCGAGCTTTTCCCAGATTTAGCAGCAGACTTCGAGGACAAAGTCTAAAATAAGTGGGGGAGAATTGTAACACCCAGTTACTGTTATGTATTTAAATTTACGTAATTTCATGTGTTGTATTGGGACTCGGCGAGTTGGAGGCCAACTCGTCGAGTAGAATGGATTTTTAATCGCGGGGTTTAGTGACCTACTCCATGAGTCGGGAGCCCGACTCGACGAGTAGGGCTGCCTGGATGAAACCTTAATATTTAGGGTCTGCCCCATATTTAAACACTTTTTCTAGCCTCATTTCTGCCTCCATCGTCCCTCTCACTTCCAGAAAGCCCTAACTCGACACCCTAGAGTTAGTTGTGTGTTCTTGAGCCATTTTTGAGTATTTAGAGTTGTTTGAAGCTTGAAGGAGGAAGTGGAAGCTTGGAGGTTCTTAAAAAAGCAAGTGGATCCAGAGATTTTGCTTCATTTCTAGCTTATTCAATGTAAAAAAGCTTGAACCTTGACTTATCATTTGATAGATATTCTTTAAGGCATGGATCGTGCCATTTTGGGGCATTTCTAAGCCACCTTTGAGTTTAGATCATATTGTGGAGTGTAAACCTTAGATTTGGAACCATTAAGGGTTCCCATGGCAGAAAGGTGCCAAATTTATGCCCTTTGGGCCAAATACCCCATGAATGGATGTCATGTTTGAAGCTTTACATATAATATGGACCCTAGGAGCTCAGATCTATGGTTTGGATGCATTGAGACCAACTCAAATCGACTATATTGTTTTCGACAAAGAGAGACTCGACGAGTCGCTTATGCATCATGGCGAGTCGGGTTGCATTTTCGCCCCAAATGTCTTCTGGAAATGGTCATATGTTGAGTTGAAGGAAAACTCAGTGTGTTGGGGTTTGTTGTGGACCTGAAGATCGAAGGACTTGACGAGTTCATGGATGAACTCGGTGAGTTCCATGAAATGTGACAACTACATGAAGACGGACTCCAACGAGTTCAAGGATAACTCGATGAGTTCAAGGATGAACTTGGCGACTCAGCTGAAGAAGGTCCCGTTGTTTTGTTGAAGGAGAACTTCTCGTGCTCTTGCTAGAATCAACGAGTGGGGATGACGTTTTAGCATTTTGTGGACATGGGGACTCGACGAATTGGTGGACGAACTCGGCAAGTTGACTCAACCAGATGTTGACTTTGACCAAAGTTGACTTTGACCAGGGTTTTGACCATGACTTTGACTTGGACTTGAGTTGAACCTTGTTAAGGGTTGTTAGTACTATATGGCAATTTAGAAAGGTTTGTGTGTAGGAATTGAGGAG